TAACTCCACCACAATCATTTCCGCTTCCGCAACTCGTTTCCTAAATATTTCCGTAATTGTATGCACCAAAATGCATTTACGCGGCGTCGGTGATTGTCTTTGTTATTGTTATTGTAATTTTTTTGTTTTTTGTAAGCGAGAGAAACAAAAGACTCATTTCTATGAAGTTGGCGCAAAAAATCTATAACAAACTTGTTATTGTTGTGGTTGTAAATAGTGAAGCATAAGCGCCTAGCTCGTTAATGGCAGTGATCACCGGTTTTCGCATATATAATTTCCACGAACAAAAGACTACTGCAAAGCGCCACATTCTCTTCCTTGAATTTGTAAACATTTCTTAAATTTCGTTGGCCACATAAATCTGGGATAGTAAGTTGGTTCTCTGCTTGCAACACCGTCCTTCGTTTGGAAGAATTTTAAAAATTTATTTTTTTATCAAGGAAGAATGCGTGCTAGAAGATTGCAGTAACGTTTAAGAATTCGCTATAGTGTTTCCTGCACAAACGCAGTCGGCCACTGGGTCGTATGAGTAACCTCTAGCAGGCCAACTGTTTTCTATTTTAGCGAACACTCTCCGGTTTTACTTTCTCACTTTTACCGTTATTGGCATTATTATAACAACCGTTATTATGACTAGTATTAAGTGATATTATTATTATTACCGTTATTTGCGCTAAAGCTTTGCGACGCGTCTAGTAAGAGCGGCTGCCAACGGCTGAGCACACACATTCACACACTTGTGAATACTGTACATACACACACACACACACATGTGCACATATGTGGTTGTGTGCTGCTTGTGTGCTCGTAAAAAAGTTTTGGACACGCACGAATTTGGAAATTGTTTCGGTTCGCTTTTTGTGCCAGCGAGTTTCTGCCAGACTGCACATCGGCGTGTCCATGTTCATGTTCATGTTCATGCTGTTTTACGCTTCTTCTTTTTGACGTTTTTGCTATCATTTTTCGCCTTGAGTGCGTGTATTTATTCTCGCTCATTGATTTTATTGCCGCTCCACGAATTTCTTGTGTTTGTTGCTTTCGCCCTTGTCTTATTTTCACTGATACGCTGTCGCATCGGGACGTCAGTCACGCCGGCAGGCTGTCCCATCGAAGCGAAAATGCACGGCTATTTCGTGGACCTTTTGTTGTTTTGTTGTTTTTTTGTTTTTGACCCTGACTCACAGTTTTAGGCCACAAGTATTTCGGGAATTATTGATTTCTCGCCACAAATAGAATGTGTCTCGAATGATTTAATATCCAATTTGTTGCATTCAGCAGATAAGGTCGTGTTCACAATAATTTGTGAACTTCAGTTTGGGAAGTGTGGAAATGGGGAAGTAAGTTAGACCTTTGCAACGGCTTACATACATGTATGAAGTCCATCGCGGTGTGTTCCCAATTGATATTCGGGAGATTTGTATTGATAGAGTTCTGAAATTGTTGTTTCAGAACTTCACGTACATTAAACGAGATCGCAGTATTTTTAAGAAGCTACGGTTGTCTTAAGATTGGAATATTTAAGCAAATCGATACTAAAACCTCGACTAACAGCAACTAACAAACCAGGCTTTTAAAGAAGTTCCTCATCAAATATAATAATGGATTACTAACACAAAGATATTCCTCGAGCAAAGCAAATGAGGCGTGCTATCTGCGCGAGAGAGCAAGTTTTACTGATGCATTTTGCAATCATTCTCTTTAGTTGCAGGCACCAGCCCAAGTCCAGCGCGCCCACTCGGCGAACCGCTTATGCTGAATAAGAAAATCCTCAAGAACAGCCAAAGTGGCAGCAGCGAGCAAGCGCCCACTGACGTCTCCTCGCTGAGTGAGCTTGCCGCCGCCAGCAGAGCCACGCCGGCGCCCAGTGAAAGCGGCAGAAGCGGCGGCATAGCTACGGCCAAAACAAGAAAGAAACGTGTGCAACTAAAGTGAGTTCTGAGAAGGGAACGCGGAAGAGTGTTATGAGTGGAAGCAGGCTCAAGGCTTTCATCACTGCAACATGGCTGGCAACCGTTAAGCCGACTCGAGGATTTCGTTGAATTGGATTTGAAGTGAAGTGGAGCGGTCCATGCTCCTGGCCGCATCGCTATTGTTTAAAACCTTTTTATTGCTATTTTAAGTTCTCGTAATATTACCTTAACTTTACGTGTAAAAGCCCAAGTGCATCCGCCCTTCTGACCTCTCCTAATGAATGTTCAATGAACCTCTTTCACCAAGTTGATATATTTAAGTAAGATTTAATCAAAACTTATTGCCTCAGTGGCAGCAATAATAACTGTTAATTATATAGGTTTAAGCGAGGACTACAGCGAGAAACACTGTGCAACCAATTCCGAGTAAACTTGATTTAATAAATATTCAATAGCTGAAGGGTGTGTAAGTTTCATAAATTTTGCTCGAAAACTCGGAAGCTGAAATGAGTTTTGCTATGCGTGTCTCATTTCTCCCATTTCCAAAATTCCTTTTTAAAACTCCCTGGGCTCCAGGAAATATTTACTTCCAGTAAGCCTACAGCTGTGTGCTTTTCAATTCAACTATCGTGCAGCGCTTTTACTGTCGACTACAAGCACCAGTAAACCTAAGCTAGGTTATCAAAACTTAGTAAGAATTGGTTTTGTTTTGATTTCATACAATGTGTTGCACAGTGTTCCATTAAATACTGAAATAGTTTTTGTATTCTTAAACCTAGTTAATTAAATGAAGAATGAAAAAGTTTTTAGGGAGATACGGTTTAATTGTAAGTCGATAGGTTAAGTTCAGGTGAAGTGGCTAAAATAGTAGGCTGTAAAATAATTACCGTTAACCACATCCGAGAGTATTCGGCAGCCAGGAATCATGCCATTTATCGCGAATCGCAAAAGAATTTTTAAGGATAGTATTCGTAATTAGTTTCTTCAATTTCACATTGTATAATTTCGACTTTTTTGCTTTCCGTTACTTTTCCGATTTAAAACACGAAATGTGACTGCATTCAGCGTGCATGACACACTTGCTGTTGTATTACCAGTTAAATATTGTATTAATCATTTGTTGTTGCACTTTCCGTGTAATCCGGCTAGATCTGATTTATAGCGCTTAATAAGCTTTAATTGTGCTCGGCGGTGATTTCCGTAGGTCCCGTTAATTATCGCGACTTAGTGTTTCATTTTCAGTGATTTCGTATAATTTATGCAGCATAACGGTTCTTTTGTCATCGCCATTGTTCCCACTCATTATACTTTTAGTTGTGTTGTTGCTTGTTTCCAGTGAATTTTTCAGTGTGTTAAACTTTAGAATAATTAAATTGCACAAATTATGCATAATTACGTGTTGTTGTTGTATTATTTTAGCAGCTTATGTGTGCGTGTTGTATGAAACTTAAATAAAATATTGTTTATTAAACACATCCAAGGTAAACATCTGTTGCTGTTTTATTTATTTTCTATTTTATTTGAGCACAAATATTTTGCCAACACATGGCAACTCGGCGAATGTAAAAAAAGTACTTTTTCTGACTTCACACTTGCATTGTTGTTTGTGTGCTCTGTGTTTTTAGCGCACGCGACAGCTAAATTATTCATACGAAGTAACCAATTGCAACTCTGTCGCAGCGAACAACGCCGATTGAGATGATTTATTCATGGCGCTTTAATAAATTAGTCTCATAGTTAATTGAGTTCGTAATTTCAAAATGAAAGAGTTACTGTGGGCCATTCATGCAAAGCGGGTCGTCAGCGAAAGCCGAGGAGCCTGGCATGCAAACGACACCGCCTAAGTAAATATTTGCTTGTTCATTGCACATGTGAGGGTCAAATGAAGGCTAAAGGCTAAAGGAGTTGTTGGTTTGATTAACGACTTTCACCAATAACAAAAGGAAATATATAAATATGAGAGTGAAATCTGTGAAGTAAGGGGCCGCGTATAGTTTCTCAAATTTGAAAAAAGCACAGCTGAAAATCGTGTGTCCGTCTTCGTGTTTGTTCTATTTTGTTCAATATATCCATATTATCTTTTCTAAAGTTTAAACCATTCCACAGTCCCACCTTCCTGCCACCAAATTTCATTATCTTGCAATTATGTAGTGAAAGTGCGCAGAAATGGCACCTGAGCGGCCCTTGAGTTGTATGTGTTAGTGCCTGTGTAGCAGTGTCCACCATAAAGCCTGCACGAAATGTCAATATAAAGCACAATTTAGGCAGGCGGCCGCTAGAAACAGAGCCTCAATGTCATGCACCCAGCACACGCCAACTTAGAGGCGCAACGGATGTGTAGATTTATGCTTTTGTTTGTGTTCTTGCACGTTTTGTTCCTTTAAACACTCTTTAAAAACTTACTATAACGGTAAACACAAGACACCCTTTATGCAGTTTGAAACCTTTTGAAAATCCAATCGGAAATCTAAATTATTCAACTCACGCTATGAGCTTGCCAAGCCCCTCAATCACGCCCACAGATCTGCTTTATCGGCTGGCAACCTCAGTGCACACACAACTCACCCACACCCACACCCACACCTACACCGAATTGGAAATGAAGAAAAGAAAAGACTTTCCAACCGCTTTGCTCACTAAATGTTTCCCACTTTATTACCTAAGCATAATATTTAGCAATACTACTTACTGCCTAGTTGTTCTGATATTAGTTGTAAGTTGTTTGCATTGTTCAAATAATGGAAAATTAATGCATTTTTTCGAAACAAATTTTTCTTCAACATTGTTTGTGTTCGAAACCAATTCTAAATCTATTCATCATCAAATATTCATCAAACGACATGTTGTACAATAAAAACAACAACAACAATAAAACACAACGTCGCATTCGCATGGCTATTGTCGTATTATGCTTACAACAACAACAACAAACCGGTACTACTAAATTTCTCAACAATTTGACGCGATTTGACCCGACCGCCTCCAACCGCCTCCAACCGACACAACAACAACAACAATAACAACTAACATCGGTCGCCACAAACGCATACATTTATGGCATATCACCAACAACAATAACAACAACAACAGCACCGCACTCGCCGCGTCGGCAAAAGCTGAATTTGCGCATGAAATCGCTGAGCTTGGACTCGCCGGAATCGACGGAACTGCACGGCCAAATTCGTCGGCGCCAGCAGCCGGTCATCGGCACAACAACAGTTGTTGGTGGCGGCAGTGTATATTACCACGGCGGATCCGGCGGCCACTTGGAGCACAACACACCGCCATCGAACAATAGCCGTTTGCATTGTAAGTACACACCTGCGCCCTGGCGCACACACACACGCACACCCGACAGCCACACACAGCAACACGTGCATATCTGAATGCCAAGTGCTTGCGAACTCAACAACACAATTTTAGCTCCGACCGCACCAAATAGGCTACCTAACCTAGAAAATTTGCAAACCCAACCCACCAACTATTCGCCTTTGGTGGCCAAAACGGGATTTCGAAGCACTGGTCCGTCGCTTACTTTTACTTCCAATCTCCATTTAATCAGGATCGGTAATTCTTTTCTGTCAAAACCTTCAAGAACACCACTAACCACTAGGTAGCAGTCAGTTCTTGAATAGAGGTGACCAACAAATTCAAGTCCGGAGCCACAGGGCTCCAACGCCAATAAAAATTATATGAGCATAGAAACGAAAAATTGTCGACTGAAAACTATATTCCTACTGAACTGAACAAGAAGGCTTAGCAAAAGCTTAGTTAATACGCGCTAATTTCGTTCAGCAGCGAAATTTGACGGTTATCCTTTTAGAACAAGCTACAGCGTGCTAGGCGGCGACAGAGCAATTCAAGCGCCTTGTTGTGATCATTTCACCTCTTGTTCTTACATGTTTTTGGAGCCAAACGGAGCCAAATGAACTATGATTTTTTGAAGTTGTCGAGCGTTCTCCAGAGAGTATTCGTAATACAATTCCGATCTTATTCCGACCTCAAATATTTTTTGCAAGAGGTCGAATTCCCCTAAACGCTCGCTTTTCCATACATAGGGTTTATTCGGAAAGTAATAGGACTCATTTTCTTCCGCCGCGACTGTTCTTCGGAGCGGCTAGTCACTTGTCTCCGAGCACCTGGAGAGTAAGGACAAATATTTTCGCGCGACGTGTTTCTCCGAGTGGCGCAAGCCGAAATTCAGCGATCATTGGAGCGGTACGCTATTAAATTCTGTGTGAAACTCATTAAATCTGCGACAACAGCAGGCTTAGCCCGATTTTGGTATAGCAAAATGTAGTGTGCTTTGGAGCATCACGCCTTTTTGGAAGGCCGTGAAGAGTTTGTTAATAAATACCGGAAGAATGAGCAAATCCAAGGTGAAAACGATGCTCATTGTCTCTTTTGATATTTTTTTGTTTCTTGAAAGGCTGATGAAAGGGAATCCAAGCCCCTTGTACCTCGGCTCTCAAGGCTACTCCGGAGAATGCCTTCCGTGACACCTTCAATGCTTGGAAATCGGGCTGGTAGCGCTGCATCGACGCAGAAGGAGCCTATCTTGAAAGTTTTTAAAGAATTGTAACGATTAGTTGAATAATTTTTTTAAATCGACCCGTTCCTATTTCTTTCCGGACAAACCCTATAGCCCTGAAATTTGGCCGAAATATTACAATAGAAAAAAAAAAGAACTGGCGTTCAACTAACTGCGCAAGTACTCACACATATATATCCACATTTTGTGATGTCCGACATGCAAGTTCATTTCACCAAATCTTATGCGGAAAAATCTGTAAATAATCTATGCAACACCGTTAGTCATTTGACATGTAGAAAGTCTTTGCGAACACTTCGGCGATTGTAGTTGAAAGTATTTTGTTGCGTTCCTAGTTTGTTCGTTGGTAAATTACATATATAACAACTACTTATTATACCGTTATAACAGATCTAAGTAGCTTAAAGTATATAATATACCTATATGTAAGTATATACATACCGTTTAAGCGTTCCGTTGTTGAGTTGAGTTACATAATATATATGAAAATCAATTTAAAAGCGTTCGCGCTGGTAGCTAGCGCTTCCACCTATATATGTATATGTAATCATGTCGATTTAATTGCAATTTTAATTTCGAATCGCTCATCTGTACATTCACGCCGCTCATTTTAATTGCAATCCAACTGAATTGCTTTCACACACACACACCAGCACACACAAGCATAGAGCCCTTTCACCTTTGCTTGCGCCACACAACACACGCCACACGAGACACATGTACATGAGTAACGGTGTATGCCGAAGGTAATTTCTTCTCAACTTTAAGTAGCATTGGCGCAAATAATTAGCGAATTGCAAAAACAGTTATTAGTTGCAAGCGAAATTGAATTAAATTTCTGAACAAAATTGAGTCTTTTGCACTTTGTGCGTGTGCCTTCGTTTAATTTCGTTTTGTTTTCCTTTTCCTTTCGTTTTTTCTTCTTCTTCTCCTCTCTCTTCCAACAACTTTGCTGACTGCATCGACATCCACACGTACTCACACCCCCATCGCCTGCCAACGATTGCAACAACAACATCAACAACAACAACAACAACAACAATGCCAACAACCTAACACACACACCCGCTCACTTGCAACCACACACACGCACATATGGGCCCACAACATTTGCCACCCGCACACGCTCTGCTCGATCGTCACACCGCCCACCCGACAACTCGCCTCGCCCTCTCCACCTTCCATATATCCCCAACCACCCCCTCCCCCCTCCATTTGAAACAAATTTAATGCAGCATTCAAACGTGCATTTACAGCGCCTTCCAGCCCCTCACACCAGGGCCGCAAGCTGCTATATGCCACGCGCGGCATGCGCGGCGGCAGCGTCGACCTGCCGGACGAGATGGAGAAGTCGCAGTCGTCGGCGAGCACCTCGCCGTGCCCCTCACCAGTAAGGCAATTTCAGGTATTTCGTTTTCAGTTCTTTTCGATTCGGTTGCTCTTCAGTGTGATTGTCCATTTGTTTGGTTTGTTCGGTAAATTAATGGCGCCGCGATGGGGGTATTCACACCAGCTGGCATGCGCTCCAAGCATCCGTGCTGAAGGATAATGCCAACGCGAGTAGTGTTTCGCAGTGAAAGTTGATAACTTCTGTGTGACAGTCATCGTGAATACACCCATTCCACTCTATGTACCACAGACGTACTCAACGGATTAACGAACAGTTTGTCACAAAAGTATTTGTTTCTTAACAATTAATGTTTTTTTTATTTCTTTATTTTATTTGTTTTTTTAATCTCTGAATCTTTTACTTATTTGAGTTTTCTTTGGTCAGAAATTGTGACATTGGAAAAGCATTAAAGTGATAACTTTCTGAATTCTTTTTGCCAGAAATCTCACCGCTTATTGCCAACGAATTTGTATGTGATTCTGTACAATTTTAAAGCGCGCCACGCTGATGAGTTAGACCTGAAGGCTGGTTACAAGGTAAGTGAACCATTAATTTTGACTACTTCTGTTTCAAACGTATTTCCTTTTCATCTCGATAATTACTTAATCTGCAATGGCCGAAAAATTTCTTCCGTAAGGTGGGTAGCTATCTGTTTATCATGCCATCGCGGTCTGGTTGTTGCCGTGCTCCAAGAAACCGTGCATATAGAGAGATATAGCCTTATATAGTCTTTCCTAATTTTTTCCTTCTTAGCTTATGGTCTCATGGTCATCTTATGGTTGAAACCGCTTCTCTAGTTAGCGGAATTTTTTTCATGATTCTATAAGCAGGCTCTTAAATAAAGTTGGCGCGACTCTTATTATTGGTTACTTGGCCTGATTTGAATGTTTATAAGCATCAAGTCCTAAGACGCTCAATCAAAATTAAACAAAGTAACGTTTAGCATAACTCGCTCAGTAGAAATTAAAAACTGAGGATTAAATAAAAAAAATTACTTTTCTCAATTCCGCAGAAATTTATCGGAGGTCCTTTCCGAATCAACGAATATTAACAAAAAATGAAAATAATTCGGTTGGTTGCAAATTGTAACAGTAGCTGCCTTATCGATAACGAATATGGAAACAAATTGCTCTGTCATAAATAAAGCTAATATGTTTTAATATAAATTCACATGTGGTCGGGCGAAAGCATATTTCATTAAATGGATAAACACGGCAGCGTTTTGGCAAGCAAAGCAATAACAATTATTTCCGTGCGTTTTTCTGCCTGGCTTTAGCTCAGATATTTGTAAGTTTATTTATGGCTTCAAATGAATTTATTCTGCGGCGCGGTGATTCAAGTCAATCATGTAATATTTAAAGTTGCGTAAAGTTGCCAAATGTTGCATGCAACATTCAGGTTTGCAGCTGTGCTAACGGCGCATAACTCTGCGGCCCATGGATTTCCACATCGTCCGCGCAACCAAGAGAACGTAAATCGATTAAAAAGCAGCAATTTTTCTGAAAAATTCCGAAACGAGGGAGAGACACAAGTTTTTAATAAAAGTTCTGCTTAATCACCGCAGACTTTCCTACAGGGCTGGTTGCGATTCACCGGGCGATTATCAGCGAAAATAAGCGAAATATTCAGTAAAACAATAAAGTGAGCAAAATACAAATCATGAAAAATTCAGAAATAAAAGAAAATGAAACGAACGCGGCTCGAATTTAAAAATGATAGTCGGTTTGATACTTTAATGAAAAATGCTTGCTTAATGTGTAAAGAGAACCCGCACAAGTATCTCCAAAAAAAGCCAGGTCGTGTGCATATATATATGTGAACAAAAAATTGTGAGACTTTGTCATTTTTGTAAAATTCTTAATTTATTCTTCTCAAAGCTAAGTCGGCCCTCTCAAAGTAATCGGCCTTGGCCCTAATACATCTCTACCAACATTTTGTCCAATTGTCGAAACAGTTGTTAGAGTAAATTTCCAGAATAGCCTTCAAAGAGCGTAGCGAACAGCCAGAAGTTACAAGGTGCTAAATCAGTCGAATAGTTTGGTTGAAAATTTGGCAAAAAACTCACGAAGATTCAATGCATTATCGTGGTGCAAAAACCATGAGTTTTGGACCCATAATTCCGGCCTCTTTTTACGAGCATCTTCACACAAACGATGCATAACACCCAAATAGTATTCCTTGTTGACAATTTGGCCGGTCGGGAGGAATTCAGAGTGAATTCCTCGATAATCGAAGAAAACTGTCTACATAACATTGATTTTTCGAATTCGGCTCATCTTTGCCACGATATTCGGCAGATTGATCGCCTGTTTCCCAGACGTAAGCATAGGTTCAAAACTCATCGCTAGTAATAACACGTTTCATGACATCCTGAAAGTCGAAAAGCATTTTTTCACACACGATAACGCCATGCTGGTTTTCAAAAAAATTAAGTGATATTGGAACCAATCGTGCATTCACTTTTCTTAGCCCCAAATGATTTTCACTGATCCTTCTGATATTCCAGTGACGCCAGTAAGAACGCTGAGTGTTAATCGTCGATTCTAAAGAACTCTAAATATCCATACTTTGTCCCAAGAGTGTGCCCGCGCCAGCACCTCCTGCCGTTTTATAGAAAGGTGTACCATTGAATAGTTGTCTCTCGTAATAGTAACTCTAGAATATTTTCACTCAGATTTGCTTCCCAATAAACCTCTTGATGAACATTTGCAGTTAATAGTCCCAGCATTTCAACTATATGGAATAGGCTTCAAAACAATTAGTATACCAAACAATGTTACGATAGTCCGACCTCCCCGTCTGGTTAATTTTGTCCCTATTGAATCGGATTCGATCGTCCGAAGAACGATCTTTCAATATTATTGAACATTTCTTTAGAAAACTCGGAAGTACTTTTCCACCACACAGACTCTCCCACAGGGAATAAAAGAGTACTAACCCAAAATCGATTGTCATCCATCTCTGTAGATTATCAATGTAGTACCACAAAAACAAACTGTATTTGTATTGTTGCATGTGAAAAGCAAAGCAATGCAACAATAACAATGGATTCCGTTGCTAACAGGAATCTCGTTGTTTGTTTATTGAACGCCGTTGGAAACTTATTTGAGCGAAAACTGATTGCTGCGCCCGACAACAGCCGTCCCGCAGCTCTTTGCCGGTTAATATGGACGAAGAGGGATGTGCGAGTGCCTGTGGAAGAGTGACGAACGGAAGGAAGATGTGAAAGCATACAAAAGACGCAAAACCGAAATGTGGCATTGCAGCAAGGTGGCAACAATACCGATGGACCAACAATAACAACAAGGACAGCATAACGGCGTCGAACACAGCGTAATAACACAAATCGATGAGCAAGTGCATGCTGCAGGGCTAGACAAATTCGTGATTCCGCGAACAAACGCAAACAACAACAACAAACGAGAAGGAGAAAAGAACGCTGCTGCGGCGATTGGAATTTGTAAGAGAGGACCTTGTAGGACCTTGGCGGGTAATTGCTGCAGCTGCGAACAATTTCTTGTCTTCTTTATTGTTGTTGTTGTTGTTGTTGTGTGTAGTTGCTTCGGGCGCTCTTGATTAGAATTAAAGGCACGTCAATTAGATCGGTTGGCGATAGAAGCGCGCGTTTACACTCACACACATACGCAAGCTGGGAAGCTAGGAAGCTGGTGCACTTGCCGCCCCTTATGTTCGCCGTTGTTGGTGTATTTATGTGCAGGTGTTGGTGTTCAAACGATTGATGGCTAATCGCTTCACTGGGCGCTTTTAAAACCGGCCGTTTGCGCTTTCGCGCCACTTCTCCGCTTTGTTTATGAACCGTTAATGCTAGTATGTGCGCACATGTGTGTGTGTGTCTGTGTTGCTGCACAAGTGGCTCAATAGCGAAGCTCTGCCATCTAGTGGTTTTATAGAACTCTCAGGTGCCAAAGGCAGTTTTGCTTTGATGTTGATTTCAAATATTATACTTTTACACTTAAACGAAGGATGTTGGCATTGAATTCGGTTCGGTTCGGGAAGGAGAGGGAAATAAAATAAAAATAAGAGAATTTTCAAGGCCTTATATTAATTGCTACAAGTGCGGATAGTTATTGAAACATGGAAAACCTTTTCCATCTAAAGCGCCAAAACAAAGAGATAGAAGGTGAAATAGGAAAAGTCTTTGTGGCGAAGCGTATTTAGTATTATACCTTAAAGTCAGTGCGGATTGACCCACATTCAATATATTTCAAATTAAAAGTGTAGACTGTGTCATCCTCCCTTAATGCATCTTCTTTTCGCTATTTTATAACTTCGCGTATTTATTTATGTCGCTGGCAGGTCACCGTCATCGATACCTCGGACCCAGACTGGTGGCAGGGAAAATTGCTGGGCCGTGTCGGTTACTTCCCATCCAAATATTGTGTGCGTCTAAATGCCAACGAGAAGCCGTTACAGGTCACACATAACTTGCAAGTATCCGATGGTGAGCGAGGAGAGAGTATGACGCTTCTGCGGGATCAAATAGTTATACAGGTACAACTTTGCCATTTCTAGCATTTAAGACAAAGGAGACCTCGTTGGCCTAATACTTTGCTTTTCTTTTATACCCTTGCAGACTGGCGACGAGGTCAACGGTATGGTGATGGTGCGTTCTGCAGACAATCGTCAGGGCTATTGCCCCGTTAAGTACCTGCAAGAGGTGTGACAGCCAAAAGAGCCGCCAGTTGAGCGTGACAAGCCGCAAAAGTCTTCGCTGTCATCAAAGCTTTTAGATAAAACGAAACGTAGAATAAGAATTGTAGTCTCTGAGAATGGGGGTAGTGGCGCGAGTTACAGCAACCTGGGTCGCGAACCCAGTGCACCGCCTGCCGAACGCGGGATGAAGAATATAAACATAGATTACAATGACGACTATACTGGGGGCGCAGAGGAGGAGTACTATGGGGGTTTTGATGCGGCCACTGCCAGTAGTAGAAGTAAAAATGATAAAAATTGGGAGAACTGGGAACGCATAAGGGAACAGAAATTGGAGAGAATGAAAAACATTTGCTTTGAAAGTTACCGTCAATCGAAACGAGATCGAATGCAACAAGCTAAACCGAAACCGAAACAACTTGACCCCACTTGGTATACAGACAATATATATTCTAATCGCTCCGAAGATCTTGAAGAGGACTATGTGCCGGACTGCCTAAAATATGGAGCATATCGTAAGCTTCGCAATATTCGCGAACAGGATGAGTTCTTTGTGGAGGATATTTTGGATGACGCTCCGCAAGATGTTGGTAGTAAGGGCAAGCGTGGTGAAGGCGAAGGTTCTTCCAGCTATGGATTGCACCGCTCAATCAGCTGTAAGGAGTTTCAGTATCCTAAGTCACAGAGTTGTTATGTGATGAGTGGTGGCACGTCCTATGAAGGTGGTACCACATCCATATTGAAGAAAACCAATGTGCCCAAATCGTATTCGTTCAGTGCCACGACGTCTAAGACAACACCCTTCGATGTGATGGACTACGAACTGCCGCAAACGGGCGCAACGCGCCGCGATAAACAAGAGGCCTTCCGCAAGTCCGCGGGCTACTACTGCAGCAGCAGCCTTGACGAGAGCACGCTAGCTTATGCGACTCACGAACCGCCGACGTCTACGCCGCCACCTCCGCCGGCGCCGCATTCATGTTGCGCGCGCGAACAATGCACCAGCGCCAATTGTCTACTTGACGAAATCTATCCGAGCTATACGGCGGCGGCCGGACGTCGTACATGGCGCAGCCGTGGCACGCCCGTGGGCATGTATAGCGCTGGCGCCAGCGGTGGTAGCAACAGGAACCTACATACCGCCTCCGCCTCCACCACAACCGATTGGGTCGAAGAACGGGAACGCGGTAGCCAGCGTGTGGCAGCGGCCTCGCGCTACTCAATACACTCGGGACGTGGGCGCGATCATGAACGTGACCGCCACAGCGATCGTGAGTGTGAGCAGCCACCGCCGCCGCCACCAACGGTTGTATGCTGTTGTGCCGCCGATGACTATTGCTACCACCGCCAGCAACAGCGCCATATTGCCAGGTCGCGTTCGCGCCTACACTGTCCCGGCCACCACCCGGCAGCCGAAGAGGAGGAACACTTACACTGCCGCGCCATGGCCTACGACACCGATCTCGATCATTTCATTCGTGATGAACGAGAACGTCTGCTAATGCAAGACAAATTCTTAGACGAAGACGAGCGCTATCTATCCAATGCTGGACCAAGTTTACACTATGCAACCCAATATAGGCGTCCTGCGCGTAGTAAGTCTCTATTGGAAGTACAACCACCTAGTCGTTATGATGATGACACGTGCTCGGACTCCACCGAAATGGACCTTGAGGACTTTAATGTAGACTTGGAAAAGTATTGGGCCGAATTAGATAAGCCACCGAGTCCCGTTGATTTAGATATGCAGCGTCGCAATATGCAAAGCAACCTCAAGGCGAAGAATGTCAGTGTGGGTTGCTATAACAACGGTCAACCAATCGATATGCACGATCGTGAGCAAGAACGAATGATGATAAAGAAATCCCTACTCGAGGGCATGCCGTCTCCGCCACAAGTGGAGTCGTCGGCGCCAGACGGCTCCTCACTACATCATGGCGCCAACAATTCAGGTGACTTTCATTTTTTTGAACAAGCTGGCTCGCCCCTCCACCGCGCCTACAACTATGGCCACAAAGTGTACCCGGTCGCAGATTGTCTTCCCTCATACAAATATAACAACTTCTACACAGATCACGAAGTACAGACCAAACAGCCAACCACCGGTGGACCTCACCCCTCCGCCGGTGGTCATTCAGCACTCAGTCTAATCAATAACATATTCTCCATCTATAAACCAAACAAGTATTCAGCCCAAAACTGCCAAATGAACGTTGATACCAAACCCGAGCCGTGCAAGAAAATGAACGTACCGTCTAGCCGCCGCCCTCTAGGTGCACCACATTCTGACTACATGCACTCAATGAAGCGACCGATGTTGGTCAGCACCGATCAGCCACAATTCAAAATCATACCCGAAAAAACGGGCCTAAAAATTACACCGCTCTACACGTATGAAGACTACATGGTCGAGAAACCACAATCGCGACATAAATTCGGTGGCATGACGCGACCGGTGGTGCCTCCGCACTGATGGTGCTGGACCTTTCCATGGTATGGCGGTTGTTAGGGACACCGGGGCTGAAAGGAGCTGGTGAAGCGAACGCGAAGCTGAAATAGACCGTTAAGTAAAGTAATGAAAATGAGGCGTGATGACGACGTAGAGCAGGGAAGCGCTAGGAAAGGAGTGTGTACTTTATAAGGAGTCAAGGGAGACAAAGAAAATGCAACGGCGCCGGAGAAACGCACAAATAGCTATTTTTAGCGAAACATAAAGACAAAGCCGGAAGAACACGTGTTTTTACCGTCACTTGAAGGCAGCCATACAACATTAAATACAAAAAGATCCGCACTCAGTCCCTACCTTTTGCTTGAATGTCGAAAAATTCATTTTCATCTCTGTTTATGGGATCAGCCATCAACGGCATCATCAACACTATAATATTGACTTCGCGTCACCCTCACATTTAAAAGAACGATGTGTGTTCGTACATCGTCATCTTCAGCGATTTCAGAATGTTAACATTTCACAAATTTTCAGTTTCGGTTTCGGTTTAGTCAGCATCATAGAGCTCCATAGCAAGTTCTGAAGGTAAAGTACCAAGTCTCAGTTGGGGACTAAGCAACGCCTGGTGGAACTTGGATCGCGTGAGTACAAACGTATTTGGGACGAGTCAGCAACGCTATACCAATGGAAAGTCATCAAACGGAATTGATGTGATAAAGTAAATGACATAGAAGAACTGTATATCATAGAATATAGTATAACCAAGAAGTACGAGAATATTTTCGAGGAGGAATGAAGAAGAAGCGGTGGACAAATGTAGTTCAATCAGAAGCAGCTTAGAAATGTGCGTGCGTAAACTTGTTTATGTGCGTTGGAGCTGCCCTATTAAAATCGCATTTTGATCTCCAGGCATTAACGGTAATTATTTGAAAGCTTCCAGCAGATATGAGAAACATTGTGCAGCTTTTGCGGGATTTTGAGTATTACTTTCCCTACATCTTTTTCTAATTGGATATTTAATTTCTTTTTGGTTCTTGGCCCAACCTCAGGGCCTTTTTACTCAAAGCAAGGCGGCATCAGTTCAGCTCAGTCCACAGGGTTTTTAAATAGTACTGAGAACTGATACCCTTGGTCATTAAGGAACAACACCTGAGAACTTTTTCTCATTGATTTCAATTTCAGTGGAGCGGAATGGCACCTCTTTAGATGGAGTGGCCATTTCTCTTAATTTTTAATAATCATTTTAATAATTAATCGTCCGTTTTGAACGTCTTTCATTTTTTTCATAACTTACTAGAAATCCTGTTACTAAAAATGCGCTCTCGACGTTCTCTCAATCACAATAACACAAAAAAACCAAAACAAAAACTCAATTCGAAAGGAAGGAAAAAGCAAAAAAAAAAAACAATAATTAAATATTGGTAAACAATCATAAATATACACAAAAGCAAAAATATATTTACACAACTATACAAGCATATTTAGAACGAAGCGACAATGAAAGCCGAAGAGCCGAAAAGCAAAAAGTCATATCCAAAACTCCTACTTAAAAAAGAAACAAAACAAAACAAATATATAGTATCTACGAGTCGTATGTAACTGTATTTGAGTAAGTGCATTCGTAGTAGACGCTGCAACGGTAGAAGGCAGACCTTGATGTGAACTTAGTCCGCAGTTTTGAAACACTTTTTGCAAAAGCAACAAATATTTATTGAAGCTAACTTACATAAAGTAATGGATATCAATTTTTCCACCATAAATATATAAACGTTTATAAACTTTTCTATTTTTTATACCAAAAATGACAACAAGAATTTGATAATGTTATTTTTTTGGAGACTTGCATACATTACCAAACACATTTTCCAATTACAAATACAATCTAATACAATTCAAAAACTAATAAAAAAAATGCATTGAAATCGCGTGAGAGGGCTGTTGAGCCCTTCGCCAAACAGCTTGCATTACGAAATGGTGTAAATATGAGAGGCGGAGCTTTGAGTGTCAAAGCTTCATGAAAGGACTACGTTTCACTGTGAAAGCTGAAACTTTTGAAGGATGAATACATATTTATTGGAGCAGCAGCTCAAAGGCGAACATCCGATCACATTGCAACTGTACTGTAATGCTAATGCCAATGGAAAGGCAAACGTTTACTGAAGAGCGCTTAGGAATAAAAGCAGCCGGAACAGAGCTGGTTGTAAGCTAAACATATGCAAAGTAGATATTAGAAGAACTCGCAGCACTTAGAATCCTTAGCACAGCTGAATGTTAATTGTTAAACAAGAAGAAGGAACATGCAAGATGCAGAGAAATATTGCGATATTTCGAACAAAACTGACAAGTGAATGTTTACAACAAAACACAAAGTGTAAAAGAAATAAGTAAAATATTTTAGCTTAAGAAATCAGCAGAATAGCTTAAGGTTAAGGCTAAGCCCTTCTAGCGTGTAAGTAATTAGGTAAATGAAAATATTGAGAACCACAAAACGCATTTTAGCAAATCTTATTGCAAATCTAATTGCTGACATTTGAACGAAAACGATTAGAAACCAAACGATGAACTTAGTACTTAGAATTCGCTTTTTTATAGTGTATCCACGGGCCTTATTTTTCAGCAAGTAAAACAAACAACCAAAAACGAAAACAAAAACAAAAACAAAACTTAAGAAACGCAATTTGTAAGAAGCGAAGCGCATCCAAAGTAGATGTTGTTGTAATTTGATATAGACACACTCCCGGCATTTTAGACTTGCAGAGAGCGCGCGGAGTGTTAACTTACACCTTTACTCTTGTACAAATGTACAAAAATAAACTTAGGGTTTTGCTTGTAGACCCACATATGTATAAAATAAGCCCCCTTCCATAAATTCATCGTAGGTTTTCCATTTTCAAAACTATTTGTGAAATTAATTGAATAACGAAATCCTTTACATGAACCTATGGACCTTTAGAAGATTCCATAAAAAAATTAACAAATCTTGAAGCTTATTAAAATATCTCCCTAAAACGTTGAATGCTTAACAGACACGCCAGAACACGCAATTACTTTTCATGCATCCCCTTCTTTTATTGAAGCATGATTTCGAAGTCACTTTTCCTTTAAAGTGCCAAAATTCAATTGCCGGGGAGACCTAAAGCAACTTTATTAAGCTTCAAATATTCTTCGAAAATCTCACGGCGCCTAGAATTTATTTGTAAAATAATTATTTGTAAAATATTATAGGCAGTTTGCTTTAAAATCGTTCTGAATTTACCAATTGATGACCGAAGCCACTAAGGAAATGGATTATAATGCAACCAGTGGTTATTGGTTAACTTGTGTCTTTGAACATCCAAAGAACCCTGTTAGCTTCACAATTTAGTCAGACTGCTTCATAGAAATGCCGCTTCAGAATCTCAACATTGAGTTGAGGAGAGCCTGATTCCGCAAAGTGAACAGTTAAGATTAGTGACATTTATTTCTAGGGCTCAAAAACTATTTTCGGTTTCTCACCCACAAAAGTTGAAGCAAAAGAAAAGTTTAGCCATTACTAAAAAACGTTTTTAAACTAGAATTTTGTTTGCCTCTTCATAACATTCGAGGAACACTATTTTCATGACGTCTTTCTTGCTATACGTTTTACAGTTATTTATAAAGCTTAGTATCCAGCTCTCAAGAATTGTAAAAACTTTATATAAAAAACGCTTAAGATCAAGCAAATGTTCAGCGGTAAATTTTCTTGTGCTAGTATGCAGCTCTAAAGAAATCCAGCACTATTTTTTAATACATTTTTTTTAATAAAATGCGAATATGGCAAACCAGGTTTTGCGAAGAAACATGAAATCAACAATTGTTTCTTGAAGGAAATTCAAAGTAATCTTTAAATTTATCCTAAATTAGTTAAAATCATAATTATGAAGTATATTTCATTTTGAAATGTATAAAATTTACCAGTCATCAACAACATTCCTTAAATCGCAAGGAAAATATTTATGTTAAGTTTATTTTCTTTGTTTATTCTCTCTTGCTCTTCTAATGTGGATCATTCACAAAGCGTCAGCAGCTGTCAAATTACTTGAAGAAATAATGTATTTTTTTTTCTTGAGCAATTACTTGAGAGCTGGAAGTAGAAGCCTCACAGTAAGAGAAGAGAATACGAGTTGGCTTTAAATCCGTATACCGTTAGCATAAGTTGGACATGAAACCTATGAACTGGTGATGTGCATTTTAGTTTTAGTAAAATATCTTATCTGGGGTGCTATAATTAAGTTTTAAGAAAAATCATGATTGGATTTTATTATTCTTCCGTTTAAAAAACCCATTTCCTCAAAAAAAACATGACAAAAATTCAAAGTTGAGTTCATAAAACTTTTCCTAGATCACTCCTATCTTATGAAAATATACAAAATGATGTTGTTGTTGAATGTATGTATGTTTGTAATATATTTAAATACAAATAATAAAATTAAAGACAATTTTATGAACAAAGAAACAAATAAACGCCCAATTCTTATGAATGAAAAAATTTAAAACACATCGCACCTTGCGCGCCTGGCGACTGCCGCCCACCCGCCACCGGTGCACGGGGCAGCAGCAGCGGGCAGCAGGATGCACCAGAATGTGAGAAAAATTAAATTTACTATGAAAATAGACGTGTGTGGACACACGCTGCAATTGGCACTAGCAGACTAAATATTGGTAGTTAAATTAAGAGCAACAAATAGTACTTTGCGTAATTACTGAAATAATTAGTAAAACTAGATTTAAGCAAGGCTAATGTAACAAGAATAAAATTATTAACAAATCATGAATGTTTAAGCAAATCAAAACTTGGCCGTTTGCACACACGGATACGAGTTATGCAATGCCACAAAACAAAAAACAGTAAACGAAATTAAGCCCAAAGCATCAAAAACTGCAGCGCCTGAAAGTAGGCTCTTAAAATTATTCGAATAACCTGAAAACCGACTATTCGAATATCCGTATGAATTCTAACCGATTAATGTTATCCGAATAGTCTCAATATTGCTAAAGTTGTTCTACCACGACTATTCGAATAGTTGCGAATATTTAAATAAATGAAATTCGTTTCAAATTCAAGCAGCCTTTGAATTTTGTTGTTCCAAATTGGTGAAAATGAAAACTGTGCGCATATGTACCATAGAATTTCTATGAACTTATTTACGTGGAAAAATCTGTAGAAGTTGAACGCATATTATTCGAATAGTCGACAACGGACGGTTCATCGGATAGTCGAAAATGAGCGGTTAATCGAATAGACGACGTCTTACGACTATCCGGATTCTGAGAACCGAATATTATTATTCGAATAATGCCCTATCCGGTTAATCCGGTTAGTCGAATGTCAAGAGCTCTAATAAGAATGCACTCAGTTGACTTATGGCTAACCTAAATCCTTGGAACAAATCTTCAAACCCGCACAGAATAAAATTGATAGCAAATGTCAAAGCAAATTTCCGCATTTTTCCCATGACACTTATTAAACCGAGATCATGAATACTTATACGAGAAATAAAAAAAAAGCAAATGGAAAAATTAAATTATGAAGACACTTCGCATCCCCTCACCGTCACACATCATAAAGTACCTAAACATTTGTTGTTATTAATGAATATTCATATCATTATTGCATGTCACATGACCATTTTTTCATTATTTCTTACTTACAAATTGAAGAAAGCAAACTATTTAGCTAAACACCCTGAAACTTGGTGGGGAAAGCCTCGAAATATCAAAGAACACAAACAAATTAATAATGAAATGAGCATTCTCTCATGCTGAGCAACTAGTCTGTAAGTCCAAATGTGAAATCTATGTGTGTGCAAGAATCTTATGTGTACTTAATATTAAGTTATTGACGAAAAAAGAAAACTTAAATAATGAAATGTCATGCATTCGTAATTCATTTCAAATTAAATGTTGTATGGAACTGCAACAGAATGAACTAAGGCAAAACACATTGAGAAATTATTGAGAAAAAATTATGAATAATAATAAATGATGATAACAATTGCAAGCAAATATTCTGTGATTCGATAGGGCCTTCTATTTCTCTAGCCACCAGTGTGCAGGGGCAAACACCCCCCGGAAAGTATGCAAGGGCAATGCAAAAGACGCGTCTTGTTCATTCTACTTCATAATGCCATGGCTTTATCGCAATTTCTCGAAGCTGCCGGTTTTAAGGGGTTTCATGGGTTTCATTAGTTTCCTCGAGCAAAAGACGGTCAATACTTTCTTGTTATAAAATGATTCTTTTGTTAAAGAGAGTTTAGTAAAAATGAGGTTCCACACCGATCGGTAAGTAGAAGACTCAGTTTGCTATGCATACCTTATTCATCAATAATATGTCTCGCTAATTATTAATATATTTAATTATATAGACAAAGTGCTAATGCCCGGTGGAAACTTTTTAGGATCCCCGAAAAAGAATGTCAGCGCATTTTGTTAGTTTTTATTTGTAAAAGTCATTTCGTATTATATTTATTCTTGTTGTTGGTTTGTTGTTTTCCTACTAAGTATCTACTTTGCATTTATAATTTTGCTTACACGTCGAGATACGCTTTAACTTATATCACATTACAATAAATTAGTATTAGTTTAAAATTAAACAATTCTCCAGTATGCATATTAGCACTTAAACACATAAATTCATACAGATATCAAGTTAACACCTATTTAGAATAACTAATACAATTACACAACGATCTGCTCTCATTCTATGGACATTTGACAATACAACCTAACCTAGATTACTTATAGTCGCTCATTGTTGTGGTGGCGTTGTTGCAATCTGCTATCAATCTGCTATGGAAGAAACGAAAGTTTAACAGATGGAACGAAGCTTTAAGGGATGTCAAACAATAAAAAGCCGCAAGCAGCTGGAACTACTTATCGTGTGCTCATCAGGTGCTTTTGAGCTTTTCAAGCTTTATTTTACTTCATCACACCATAATACCGTCTGCTTAATTGGAATCTGGATAATGCTGTCTTAAAACATATGTAGATAAAACTTGCTTCATAAATTTACTCTGATAGGAAAGTTAAGTTTGGTAGTCGGGTAACTATAAAACTATCCCTAACCGAAATTAAATTTTGTATGTGTTCACTAATTCGTTCACTGATTTAGCTTATCTGAAGCTTTCAGAGCTTTAAATACTCCTCAAAGCTTCTGAGCGGTTGTTTCTAAGTCCCAAAGTATACATTTCTCTACTGGCTTTAATTTGAGTTCAACCAATATTTACGCCTAGAAAGCAGGATTTCCTTTAAGTTCCACATTTAGGTAACAGGGGCACATATAAAAAGGCTGAAGCTAATATCTAAATCAAAAGGCTTCGCTACAAGATCAAAGTATCGGGGCACAACACATTCACATAAAAATATCCTTTCGAATATCTAACCTGACAAATGAGCTCGCTAATTGTCGTATATCTAAGTTAAACCTTAAATCGAACTAAAAAGTCAGTCGTTTTTTTTGGAAAATCAGAAAAACTTCTTCTCTACGCTATAGTATTTAGTAATATTAGGCGACGTCGCTTTTCCAGGTACCACACGGGCTCTCAGTTGTCATCAGTGCGCTTGCGAGCTGCACGTTGCACTCTCGAGCTGCACTCGCGTTGTTGTAGAGCTAGCTGCTGGCGCGACGGAAGCTGCCGCGGACGTTGTCGATGCTGTTGCTGCAGAGGGCGCTGCAGCCCCGTCTCCTGCGGCGGACATTGTCATCACTGTGCCATTGGGCGTTGTTACGGCGACGGCGGCTATTGTCGGCGGCATTAGCGCTGCAGCGCCCAGGGAGCTGAGCGTTGTGCTGGAAGCCGCCTTTTGGTTGGGGAAGAGTACCGAGTAGGCGGGCGGCGGATCGAGCTCCTCGTAGTTGGGTGGGGATGCGCTGCCTGTCTGAAGATCACCGGCTGCGGCAGCCGCACTACTTTGTAGCGCCGATTCGCGTTCGTTCTGCGTCGCGTGCTGGGAGGCGGAGGCTGAAAGTGAACGGATGGTTTGAATGTGAAAGCTTAAGCGACAACAGCAAACTGGAAGGAAGGAAGGAAAGAAGGCGGAGGCGTAAGAATTGGGATACCAATTTAAAACGTGGATGAATGAATGGGTGAAAATGGAGATATGTGCAAAGAAAAGTTTTTCGTTAGTGAGTGAAGTATTTGATTAGGGTTTTGCAGTAATTTTCCCGGGTCGAATTGCACAGAGTTTCCGAAATTGAGGTTCGTGGGAGGAATACGCCATTTTTTTTTTTAAATATATTCGAATGATTTGAGTAAAAAGTAGCACATATTTTTCACATGTGCACATGTCGTGTTTGTTATTTTAGTTCGCGTGTTTGTGTAATTTAGCATTTTTGTGGACCGAAGGTGGAGGTACAAGTGTTGTGCAAAATAATGAAGAATTTTCGAAAATTTTACAGACCGATCAAGATCATTTGTTTCGTATAGAGGTGTTAGAGGTGTCAAGCAAGTGCAAATGAAGGAAATAGAACAATAAAAATGGATAGTGAAGTAAGTATTACAATTTAAGTGTTTATGCGAGAGTCGTGTACGTATTCGGATTTTGTTTGGACGTTATTGTGGGGAGTGGAAGGTGGTGTTCGTAATAATGTGAAGCAAAAAGCCAATGTGCGTTTCATTCGGGGGTTAGTTCGTGTGTGGGTGTTTGTGGAATGCAGCATGTTGTATATAGTTGTTATTGTATGTGATGATTGAGTTAAAAATAAACCAAAATATAAAGAGAAAATTCATTACTCGAATGGAACAAACCACAGCTGCTCAAAGCTAGACAAGGAAACGCACCAAATGCCTCTAAAACTCACCCCAAAGTCCACAAATCAGCAAGGCGCCACCGCACAATAGCATGCCCAGCATGAGATAACCCCACGGGCCGTACTTCGAGAGATCCGAGTTGAGGCCAGATCGTGTCGAATTGCGACGGTGATGGCCGCCAGAGCTTTCGGTGGTATTCGTTTCGGCTTGCGCTGTAGTCATTGTAGCGTTACTCGCGACTTTGCTTGTATCATTCGAACCGGACTGACCTGTTTGCTTCGAATCCACTTTGCGCAATGTGGTGCTGTTCGTACTGCCAGCGACACCCTCATTCGTAGACGCTACATCTGCAGCAATGGTTGCCAACGTCGTTGTCTCACGTTGTGCCGGCACATCAAAGGCAAATAAATTGCGAAAAACCTCCAAAGCAAAGTGTTCGAAAATGTCGGTCTCCATGGCGGGGGGTATTGGTTCACCGTAGCGCCGGCGCTTCCAACACATTTCGTTGTCCTCATCGCTATCGTATTCATTGCTAACCGGACAATGCCGAATGCCGTCGCAGACGAGATCTTTAGAAATGCAGAGAATTGGTTCGTCACTGCAAAAAGCCGAGGTTTATGAGAGATATTTATTAAATCTATTATTACGTTGTAATTGGCCAATAACTTACCCGATTCTCAGGCATTGATGCTTCTTGTCACTGCGGCACTGTTCGCCCTTGCCCAAGGCGGTGACCATCAATTTCGAATACAGCTTGTGGTGACCGTGCTCCCAGACAATGCGAACGCGCCCATGAAACAGCCGAACGGGATCATCCATTTCTGGTGCTGTGTCCTCCAGCTGACAAGGGTCGAGTCGCCACTGCGGCGTGTGGAAGTCCATAGAGCTGAACTGTTATAACAAAAACAAATGAGTTTTATTATTATTCCAGACATTTGCGGTTGATTGATGAGAAGGAATGCTTGTAATGCTTGGGAGAATAATTAAGTCGCATTGCTGCTGTTCGCGAATGACAAATATTCCTAACCAAAATTGGCACGAAACATTCTCTGCGCACAGCAAAAAAAAAAAAAAATAAAAAAAAAATAAAAAATAAAAATAAATAAATAAACCGCCAAGCGACATGATTTCAATTAATTGCGAACGTGCTTTAAATTAACAATAATAATAAGAGGAGAACTCGTTGCTCTGCTCACGGTAGCAGAATGTGCGTCGATGGAGTCTCCATGTGGTCGCGATTAATCTGTAAATGGGCCAAAATATGTGGGATGTCGAGTTATTAGTAACAAATTGGGAGGGTTGACCTTCAGAACACGTGCTTTAGAGCTCAGAGGCGGTTTAGAACTTTCCCGACAGTCCTCTAGGTAGGACTTTAGGTCTTACTAATAGCTCGGCAAGGTAGAAACAAGCCGACGAACATATTTCGGTCATGAAAAACATCCATCTTCGTCAGACAAGTCACAGCGAAAACACTGTTTAGAATAGTAATATTCTAAGCGCTTAGGAAGCGCTTTATTTTTGACTTCGTTTCACTAAAATTATCTCAGTCAAAAGTAGTATTTTCATCTTCAAGAAATTAAATGCGCAGATCTATAGAAAACAACCAGATTTGACGTTGAAAAAAAAAAAAATTCCATCAGAACATTGACGCTCACGCCTACGAATCCTCTAGCGCCAGGGCGTGTGGGTTGGAAACTGCCCAAGTGTTCACTCGCACACAATTTTGCGTGGCGATAGCTATTTGGCCAGTGGCGTGGGTGACACGAATATTCTGATATGTATGTGTATGTGTGTGTGGCTACGCACACAATGTAAAATCAATAACGGTCGCTAAATATGCAATCCGGCAGAGAACAATTATTGTAAGGCCAATAGATCAAGCAATTCAAATGCTAAATTCATGGTTTATTCATAGCACACGTTCATACGATAAGATACCCTGCAGAAAATTCTTCGATTAGATCCAGATTCGTCAAGTATGCTTAACGTAACGATGAGATGAGAAAGAAGACGCCTTGGACAAACACCTGATATATCTTCATCTTGACTGTTGAGTACTATAGAATGCTCAGGTCAGTAATGAGCTTTGGAACTTTTGAACTGGGCGCTGCGGCGGTACATGTGTGTGTGTGTAAGTGCGTACTTCGTTGTCTGTATGAATTAATGTGCCACACCCAACCGCCCACCAATCGTGTGCCAGTGGAAGTAAAGTTTCATTCATCGCATGCAAATTCGAATCGCTCCCAAGCGTTTGCACACACCCACATGCGCTGGCCCCCACCGTTGCGACGCCTTGTCGCTTGCTGTACAAATTCAAACGCCACGCTTATCTCTAGGCTGACGCGTTGTTGCTGCCGCGTGCTGGTTGCTCGTTCAAATATATTTTAGTAGTCATGTTTCATTGTTGTCATTTATTGTATCGTTTTTACTGTTCGTTTTGGGCACTTGGGCAAATAACTAATGTTTTCACCGGAGACGCGGTTTATTTTCGGGTCTGTTCTACTTTTAGATTGCTTCTTCTTCATTTTCGCTGAGCTCTCATATAAACGTATGTCTGTTTACCTGAATGTTTGCATTGTATTCAGAGTTTATGTTCACACTTCAAGGTTACCGCATCCGGCACCGATCTATTTGCATACGATCAGGCAACAGCGACGGATTGTCAAACCATATGGCTATGCGTGTGAGTGTTTATAGAAAATAGTTCTAAAGTCATATCAGGTGAAATCTATTTATGTGTCACAAAGCGTTGATCGGATTATTTTCAAGGTAAAACTCCATGGGATCATATCTGGATTTAGAGAGTTTTGCTGATTAGCAGATTAGCTTATTTTCAGGCGTCATGTTTGTTGTATAATCCTAATATGTTTCTAATATAACCTCTGACTTGCGTTGGATGTATTTTATGTAGAAAATTGGACAGCAAACACAAATTATATAATGAGTTTTGAAATCTTTGCACGAAATTGACGAACTCACAAGTGTTGTTACTCTTTTTGAACACGCAACAAGCTTCCGCCAATTGTGCAGAGCCCAGCTGGACCCTGGAGCCAAGCTGCCGAAGTTCACACACTTATAAATCAAAAGTATTTGGTTGTTGTATTTGCTGTTGCAGCGTTTTACCAGAAAAACAAGCTGAGCTGTCGGAGAGGAAGACTCGCTTCTTGGCTTTGTATGCAACCACTCTTGGCCACTTCAACGCGCGCCAACCTGGTCCGCTGGGCGGCTCGGCTAATGAACTGCTTACCTACGCGGATGAGTAAGCAAAGTATATGTGTTTTCTTAAATGTTAAGGCACTAGCAGATGGGGTACACACGCGGGCAGAGTAGCTGAGGCCATTGTATGGAAATGTATGCAAATAACACTCGCGGCGTTTTTAAAAACAAAATGTATTGGGATAAAGCCGTTTTGAATACGCTCGGCAACGCTTCCTGCTTCATTCAAGCAAAAGTAACCATAACTACTATTGTGCGCTCATAAAGAAACATACACATATATATACATACATGGATATGCAAATATTTACTGAGGGTTTCAATTTTGCTGCAAATATTGCGTTTAATGTTTAACCACCTTACGATACGTTCAGCAGTCGCATTTTTAGGGAGTAGCAAGGGGCCTGACACTAACGGTTATGAATGTGGGATTGGGAAAATCAAGCCCAATTCTCTCAATTTATATTATTATTTGTTATTGCACTTTTTAAACAAAGTTGTGTATCTATCTGCCCTCAAGATGGGACTAGCAGATCGAGAAGACTGCAGGAAATGCCTAGAGCACCAGAGAAACAATAGAGTATCTCTTGCGAACTTGGCCCGCATTGGCAAGACTACGGTTTAAGCAGTGTAATGCACTGAAGGAGATACCGACAGGGAGGCCGCAGAGCATCCTAAACGATGCTACTCGTATAGGACCAAACTAGTCTATTCGTGGCTTATTGGTCGACCAGATAACCTAACCTATGTATCCCTCTGTAACCAGCATGTCTGGAGTATTAAGAGAACATTCGAAATCCGAGAAAGTTTTGCATGCTTTAGGCAACGGGAGCCGTTTGTTGTTTATGTTTTCGTGTTTAGTAAGCAAAATGGACCAGTGGGGCTAGCTAAAGAGGTGCCGTGGAGCAAATCGTGTCAGAACCAGAATTCCCAACCTTTATGTGATTTTTCACTCCTCTGATTTGGAATATTAGCTTGCCTTGATTCATTCCAAAGAGTCTAGATTGGATTTGAATGTGTGTTTCTTCCTGCCTGAATATTGAAGACGTCCAAAACAACATGTGTTCAAGTAATGGGCTAGTGGGGGGCAGCGGAGTGTGTATGTCTGCATCGAAACCTCAACTTTAATGAAAGCTTTCAATTCATTGAATTTGGATTTGCAATTATCTCGTTTGCAATAGTTTCATTGAAGACCGTCTGATTTTATTGCCAAATCAGAGTCTGTTTCTTCAACCAAAAAGAACAAAAACAACAAAAAAAAAAAATAGAAGATTACAACTGTGTCGACGGTGAAGCGCCACCAACTAAACCAAATTAATTCAAGGTGAGAATGAGATCATTTTCATAATAATTTCCACTTCATTGTCCACGTCTGTCCATATATGTGCATACATACATACATACATACGTACATATGTAAGCGCAGTAAAAATAAAAGCGAACCAAACAAGAACATGCGACAAAGCGAAAAAAATCTTAATGAAGCGTTAACTTGGCGGAACATGTGTTGTTGGGTGTAATTAACGGAAAAAATAAATAAACAATAAAACTTATCGACTTTAGCAAAAGCAAAAGCAGAAGGAGAATATTTTGAAATAGTCCAGTCATTATAGTAAGTTCACCTCGGAATTCGAGATACCCAGCTGTAAGTCTGGAAATATTGTATATTGACACCCTAGAAGTTGTCTCAAAACCTATATATGGTGGGGTGTATCCGTTTACAGACTTAAATGACTGGTCTAAAAGCTTTTAAAGAATTGTAACGATAGCCTCAATATATATTTTTTTAAATCGACTCAGTTATATTACTTTTCGGACAAACCCTGTATGCCGCTTATTTTGGTTCCACATCTGTTTCCGTTCAAACATAGAACTCTCTTACACACATCAATGCTAAAACTAACTGCGTTCTTTAAGCTGTTGCGTTTGAGTAAGCGCCCATCGACAGACAGACGAACTAAATGAGGTGCATATGGTCTCTGCTGGCTCGCTGGTCTTCAGAAGCACACGCGTTTGCTCTGCCGATCTTCCTCAACCGTGATGGCATTAGACCACGCAAGTGCAAACCGGAAGGTAAGCGGCCAAGATCGGACAACATATTTGAGTTTAGAAAAGCAACAAATTTGTGAATTTGAGTAAAGAAAACAAAAAACAGAAGCCGAAAATACATGAACGCACACACACATTCGAGTTTATGAATTTGTCCATGCAATGGTTCGCCGTGATTCATCATTAGTGTCTACGTTTGGCCAACCACGCATGCGTAACCCCAAAGGTAAACTTCTTGTTGACGGGCCGTCAACCAACTGACTGACTGACTGGTCGCCTGAGTGACAGCAGCAATGGCTGCCTGTGCACGAAACCGTGCGAAATACATGTGCACATGCGCTGAGTACAATAAGGCACACAAACATTTGTAGGAGTTTATAACACATCGTCCGCGCTTTCGGCTTCGGCATGAAAATAAGATTATTTCACATTGAAACTGAAATCGGCTTAAAAGAAAAAACGCATTTGGCAATTTTCAAGTTATCGCATTACCACTGCCACAGCACATGCGCACATACACGCAAGCATAATCGCACGGCGAACACGTAAGCCGTAAGTGGAAATGTGAGCTTGCTAAAAACAAACAATGCTTCTGCTTGAGGTTCTCACATTTTACTTAGATTTTTAATGGGATTGTTTATACAATATTCGTAGCAACTCGGTGAGTCCGACTCTAAGCTGAGCTGCGAAACTTGTTCAAACAACACATCTCCCATTTGGGTACTTTGAAAGCGAAAAGAGTGAGAAAGGCAAATTGGAAAATGAAATTAGTAACTCGCTAATCGCTCGCAAATCGGTCGAATCGAAAATACAGCACACAAATTGGCGGGGGTGACCAAAGCGGCGCCAGATTTAGCTCAGCGCAGAAGCCGTGTATCATTACGCTTATTCTTAGCGCAGCCGACACATGCTTTTCGTTAATGGAGTTCAATCATTCGTCGTTGAGGCAAAATATTTCAGTTAGACACTCTAATTGAGTAATGAATGTGAGCTGTGACCAAAGTCAGCGTTATGTCTGAGAGGCAGAGAACACCTTATTCTTGGTAGACATGGCGAAAATCTTTAATATCTAAAATTCTTTACTCATTGTCCTTTTTATATATATTATACATATTACCTGTATATTATACCTGTAGAGACCTTTTGGGCAGTAAAAACGTATAGAAATGATAAGTAAAGCTAAAGACAAAATGTAATACTCACAATCGACAGCGGGCACGATCTCGTCGGTTTTGCTGACTTGCTAACGGATGCATTGATTTTGTCAATCAATGACGTCATGCCGCTGAAAGCGGGCATGACACTGCCAGACGATCCAGAGCTTGCATCCGTGCCATCAGCTTCTGCCGACGCTGTCGCCGCTGCTGTAACTGTGCCCGATGCTCCTCCGCTACCGTTCGCCGGTCCGACAACATCGTCTGCATTGGCTTTGGACGTGGCGCCATGGCGATTGCGTCGTATCTTCGGTAAAAGGAGGCGTACGATGAAACCATAGTTGGCGGGGGCGCTGAGGATGCGCGTGCACAGATGCCGCTTCTCGGCTAAAACTCCGGGTGCAAATTCAAGTATTAGACTAGATTCCTTACCGTCGCTCTCGATGTAATGCTCCTGCTGGACGCTGCAGATCTGCTCGAATTTGGGATTCGTTAGGAAGTTGATGTCTGCAAAGGAAAGAAAGATACATAAATTATAAGCTCATTAGAACTGCGAAGAAATCAGATAAAGGGTCTCATCGTTAGGTAGAAAGAACCACTGGTTAGTGGGCTGGCACAGAATGTTGGGTGATGGTGTAATAGTAATGGTAATGGTAATGGTAATGGTACATAATGGATCCAGATGGACTTTCGACACGAATTCAATGGCATAACAGCGGGTGTGTCAATAACACACTTTCCACAAAATCCCGCTACTCAGGAACTGTGGCATATGATGCAATGCAACAGTCTTCATTCTCAGTTTGCGGTTTCGGTACTGTTTGCTTTTGTGGCATTTTGTAACTTTTTCTTTTATTTGCAGTTGCTTTTTTTACAATTTCACATGCAATTAGCTACGTCCGTCCATTGACAGCAATTACAAGTTAATCGATGGCGTATCAGTAACGACTTGACAGCAAGCGCAAATACTTGTGCCTACATATGTATGTATGGGAGGGAGGTATGAGTATGACCACATATATGTGTGCGTATTGTTCGTACAAATATTTGTGTCTCTTAATTTAATTGAAATGAGCACGAGGTGTGAAAATGCTTGCCGCATTTGCTCTAGGTGTGTGCACCGGCCACGCCCCACGCTCGGTGATAATTTTTTGATGTCTTGTCCAAACAAATTCCACTCACTAACTTGCTTGTTTGTATGCCAATGAGGTGAGCAAATGTCCTCCCTTAAAGAGCAACGAATTGCAACACTTTTGCAAAGCTCCGTAACGACACGTGTGACCCTTCTCACCTTAAGTAACCTCGTCTTATGTCATACGGAATATAAAATATAGGGCACCCAAGGTCCAAACACCCAACTAATCCCAGTATCGGCAGACGAGTTTCAAACACTGCGTAGCAGAAACTGTTCGATTATTATAACCAAGCGCTTACTTTGTCGACTTCAAAAGAGCAATTTGGAAAGGAAAAATGTATAATTCACCCTGCAAAGTTGTGCCACTCACTTTCCATGCTTCGGCTGTGCTTTTCTGTAGGGATTTGCGTGGACTTTGCTATTCTCTTAACGTCTACAAGTAAAGTTCGGATGGGTGTTTGTGAGTGCCTCCATGCAATGCAAACATTTATACAAATATTTAGTTGAAATTGCGATAATTTGTTTAGCAAACGCGCCGCAAAACACCCTTAATGTAAATAGGCTTTACCTTTTTGTTTTTTCTTACATAATTGAGTATTTACCGAGGTGAAAATGACAACTTTAGTGAAAAATATAAATATGGAAATAAGCGCATGTGCACCCGGTGATATATATACGAGTATAATTTGAAGGGGTATGTTAAGTAAGAAAAGAGCGGAAAATTTTCCTAATTAAAAGTGAAAGTTTATAATTTTCCGCAGCTGGTCGCTAATTGCGAAAATATATGAAGATTATGAGAACAGGGAAATTGGTGACAATCACTAATGAAATTGAAATTTATTAGAGATGCATTTACCAGAGAAAAGAGAGAGGAAAATCTGGGCCAGGAAAATATACATATTTGGCAGAAGCTAAAGAAATCTTGGAATCATCGTAACAAAAGTCTCTGTGTAGAATAGTCCATAATTTTTTTCTTTTTATGTTGTAAGTGTTAAAACCAGAAAACGGACTCTCGCTTTCTCAGAAGCGGAAGTGAAATTGCCTCCCCCAAAGAGAGAAATAACGTTCGATTGAGAGAAGTACATGTTGCTTATTGTCAGTCACCTCACGATAGAATTGACATAAAGGCCAGACTCATAAAAAATGTTTAAAGGTCGTATGGAGATCTCTAGAAATTTTTTCAAAAGATCTCTTTCCCAAACACCTTGAACTGATTACCGTTTTCATAACGAAATTTGAACAAATAGAAAATGGCAAACTCACGCCTTCCGAACTTTTCCATTTGATTAAGAGGTTAAGATACTATTTTCAAAATATACCAGAACCGCTTTGGTAAATTAACCGCAGTTGTTCCCTGTTCTTTCCTGCAGGGTGGGTACGCGCCTCTAAATGTGGCAAATTAAATAAATTAATAACGCCTGTGCTCGACAACACTCGCCGGGGTAGATTTTTAATTGGCGCGAATCCATCTACAATAACGTTTTCTCAATACACACACACATACACACGAATATAATATATAACTGGAGCTCGTTGATTGCAAGATTCCACAACTGCAATGATATTCGCCGCTCAAAATCGCGAGCGCTTTGTTCCATCGTTTATGTTTTTCGCAAGTTTTGCACATTTTTTACTTTTGTTGTTGGTTCTCGTTTGCGCTTTTAATTGTGCGCTGCCTGGACGGATCGATGTCAAAGGTTAGAGTTAAGTAAATTAATCAAACCGGCACTCACGCAGTTAATTGTTTGAATGTCGAGCTCACGCTTGCACTTCCATACATAGATGCACACACACACACACACACGTGTACATAGCTACATAAATTCTGGGTGGGAAATCGGGAATGAGTACCAATTTTCAAAGCTGTTCGGCATTGTCTTTTTCTGATCCGTGAAATGATGATGAAACAATAAAACACAACAACAACGCGTTATTAATAATTGCGCAATACCGAGAGTTGCATACTCCATTTGCTTATTTGCTTACAATCATAAACTTGCAAATTTTCTAAGGGAATTTTTCCTAATTAAATACTCAGGTTTCCTGAGGTTGTTGGCAGGGGTTTCCCTGATTGACTTAAATAAATTATTTTTATATTATTGTGTAATATACAGTCATTTGAACTTATGAGCAAATATTCACAGGGAGATATGAGTTTTCCTGATTCCAGTTTGTCGCAAGCGCGAGAAGTTCGAGGCGCAGCAAAGACAGGATATTGCAACAGCAAAAACGAACTATTAACTTCTGCAAGCACTACGCTTTATAGATCACATTCCTGCTCAGAATAGCTGTGTTCTATTCGCTAAGATTTACAGAGTGATCTGTAGAACAAAACTAGTACAAGTTAAAGAGATTCGTGTGATCAAGTGTAGAGAGCACATATTATTTTGTATTGCAGGGAACTGGATAGCTTTGTACTGGCTTTGGCAAGAGAGCCGAGCGAAAAAGCGTCGAATCCTGGTCAACGGACAAGCAGAGGAAACCATAATTACCCTTCCCCCTTTTATTGGAAGGCGTACTCTCACAATTCGTAAGCACACTGTATTCATTGCATTATATTTGCATGATTAAAGCAATTTTATTTATTTTCAAGATACACCAAGCAGAGAGGCCTAGATAATTATGGCGCTTTGTTGCGTATTCAAAGAGTACGCGGCGAAAATAGAATACGTAACCCATAAGGAGCTAATATCTGCTTCTCCACCTGGCAGCTGGCACGTGGGAGATGCCACTGTGACAACATGCCGCCTTAATATTAATATGCAATGCGCTCTTATGGCGGCGCCGGCGTCGGCAACGTCAGCTCTCGACCGGGTCAATAGCAATTAAACTTCCCCATGGAATGAAGCGTGCCGCTAACGGCAAATGGAGCGCAGCAGCTGACACACATACGACAACCGTCAGTCAATTTGCTCATTCACTCGTTCTTGCGGCACAATTGGCTACATCCGCAACCATCACATCAGCATTTGATTCCTTTTTGCTGGAGTTACTTCATTTGATTTTTTCATCGCTTCTCATTTTTGGTTCTACCCAGCTGAAAGTCTGTAATCTCATTATCGTTCCACTTCTTTTTGCTGTGTTATTATGATTTCGCCATCAACTCGATTTGGTTATTCATGAATTTATGACTGCGTGTTTGTGTGTGTCATGCAGCCGTGTGTTGTAAATTATTCATTTGAGAATTCAACCCGGTGCTTTATTGTAGTTTTTGTTACTTTTGCCTTATGCCATTCATCGTTTTCTGTGTCTCTTTGCGGTTTCTTAACTGTTGCAATGTGTTTGCTGAATACTCACGTTAATTTCATTCTTTTTTCGGATTTCGGCTTTCGAATTTCGTCATTCGTTCCTTTCTTTATTCATTAAAATTTCTATAATCTCGACAGCTTTTGTTGTTTTTGCCGTTCGCTGTTTTCATGTACATTTCACCGGTTTCCGTTAGCCTTAATTGGGTTGAAAGTGAGTCAGTTGCTACCAAGCCCTCTGCTGACTTCTGGTTTATTAACCTTTTGACGGTGGCAAATTCGTCAAATAATTCCTCCTTTCATTTAATTACCTACATATGTATATAAGTAAAAAGATATATGGGATATAAGTAAACAACTGGGTCACACATTTATGTCGTCAAGTCACTTATCGCCCGTTTTTTATGAAATTTACACAACTGCACTGAGAAAATCATATTTTAGAACAAATATAGAAAACAGATATAATTTCTGACTCTTCTGATGTCAACCAGAAATTTTGAACTAACTTTGCACCACCTTTAAATAACAGAAACCAGGTTCGATAACTAAATACTCTTGGATATTGGCGAATCGAAGGAGCAAGTGGATAAGTCGAATTCAGGTCCCTTTATACGACAAGTAGTTTCTTCTCCTCTTGTTATCCAGACATGTAAATTAGGTACCGCTTCAGAAAGCCAAATGTATTTGACGGCACTTTTGAGGTTTCGCCGCTTAAAAGCCGTTCCTCTCAAATGTGGTTCTTATGTTACCCCCGTTATGTGTATGTTCATATGTGTTTACTTAGGTTCGTTTCCTAACTTTGAAATCTGCAAACATTTAACAATTTGGAGTTAGACATATTTTCAAAACAGTGACCTTTGCATACTCTTGTTGGAGGGCAGCACTCGTAAGTAGTTCAAGTTAAAATCTACACGCATGGCCAGTGCAATTATCGTTCGTAAGTACATATGTATGTATATACATCGGATTTGAGATTTGTATGTATGTATGTATGTGTGAGAGGGGCGTGCAAAAATAAACGAGTACTTTTTAAGTGACATCTAATAGAGTCGCATTAGCGAGTATGCGTGTATGTGTGCGTGTGCGCTGAGGATGATCTTGGGAGTGGTGAAGCACGGCAGCAA